AAACTAATCGGGATAGATATAGGATAATGTATATTTAACTGATAAGGATGACGAGAGAAGCTGAATCGTTTCCACGACAGTCGGGTCTATGTAACCAGAACGGTCCCAGATAACTATCCGGCCAAGGACTCGGCACAATTCTGCCGCTACAGCAACAACAATAACGAGAAAAGCTGGAATCCGAGTAACTGTCTTTTTACCCATCCGTCCGTACAAGCTATAACTCGCCGCTCCTTGCCAAAAAAAATAAGTTTGGCACACTTCCTATATAACGGTACTGTTAAAAACTACTGACGGTGATAATGCAACCACGCCCACTTCCCATGTAACACAGTTTTAAATCCTATCTGACTCTTTCCTTTCCAGTTTCCATATGCCATCTTATGTCAACTTGTGAGATACTGATAACAGTGTATTTTTTTGCCTATAATGGTTAAAATTGGGTCAAAACTTGACTTATGATTGATAATGGCATGTGAGGAACCGTAATGAATCGCAGGGAACATTTTATTAGTACGTGGCATATTTATGGCATGTAGTATGGGAAAAACAGATAAAATTTTAGCTTTCGCTTTTGTAACAGATATTTTGTTGTTGTTGTTGTAGCGACAGAATTCTGCCGTGTTGGCAGACCTTGACTGGATACAAATCCGGGGCCATTTCGGTTACGTAGATGGGAGACATACATATCTTTTGTCGAATATGTCGATATGAAATAAATAAATGTATATATGTATCTATATATATATATAATTGCTTAGATTCCAATCCAGGGGTTGACGTTTTGCACATCAAGGTATTTTCCTGGTTTTGATTCTTGCAAGTTGCAACCGAACTTAACCCTTCCTTACTTGATTTTATATATTGTTCTGAAATTTTGCATACGTCCCTTTGATCAATCACAATCAAGATAGAGTTCTGGTTACACCCTTTTATGCTATAAAAAATACACCTGTGAAGGGTATTATAGCTTACACCTGGACATTTTAAAACCCGTCTAAATCTTCCATCAGAATTGAAATTGACTCCTTGTTGCTTATTTCAAATTCAATTCCAGAGCTAAATATAACATATATACATATATGCATAATATTCACCTTTTTGGATTGGCCTTTTCTTTGGGATGTTTTAGCATCATATAACGTGCTATATTAACAGGATATCTCGATATGAACAAATTGGCATGCTTTAATCTGAAGAAAATAATAAAATTCATAGCAAATTATAAAATACCACAACTCATCACAATATTGTTTGCTATAAGTATAGAAAATATCTTACCTATTCGACATATCGTCATCTTCACCACCCCACCCAAAATACGAATTCGAAAAGCCATTCACTAGCTGAAAGTGTTCACGAGTCATAGCGGATACTCCTCCAAAAATTGAACGATAAGGCAACCTATTGATAAAAACAACAATATCACTTAGTTGAATTTGATAAAAATATATGAAAGTTATTACTTGAAGTTTAAAGTATCTATAGAGACTGACATGTGGCGCGGTTGCCGCGGACATGTATACAAGTTTCGATTATCCAGAGGTAACAAGTCAACATCATGGAATATAAAACAGTCCCATGGAAATATTTTTAACGCTTCTAAGAAGCCTATATTCATTAACGCAGCCCGATTAAATGCTTTCCCATTGGTTTGTTCGATGAGAAATATTCTGTAGGCAATATGCTGTTTCATTAAAAATGGATGAATGTTTCTCAGAAACACGGTTAAATGGGCGTAACGATCACGAAATGGTACGACTATTGCGACGTGCTCCTTTGGAATACAATCATGTGGTTGAAATGCTCCTCCTGGCTTTAATAGAGGGGCTAGTTCAGCTTCCACAATGTCCAATGATTCAAGAGTTGTATTTGGGGTTATTGGACCTTCATCTGAAAATTAAAAAATAATTTGCAATTTTTATTTATATCTAAAAGCAGAATTGGAAATTGATGCAGAAATACGGCATTTTAAGGAAGAGTTGTATGATCAATATTTTTAAATTTTTAATAAAACCATGACAATCAAGATAGCATTAAGCATAAGACTATTTATGAAATTACAACTTAATAAAATTTCAATGATAGTTGGTAATGTGAAATAAAACTGTTTTTCTCAAGTCCTTCTTTCTACATTTTAATGATTTTGGACCTTTTACAATATTTTGGTATTCAGTTGTAACTGCCTTTATATATTGTATTTTAAAAATATAAAGTTATTTGCCTTCTTAAAAATATGTTTTTTTTTTTCATTTCCAACATCCCTAATCAAAGGTTAACTTACATAGAACACAAACATGCAGTCCTGTAGGCATTAAAACGAAAAAAATAGGAACATCGATCAAAGACAAAAACCATATCAACAAATAGGAGTCAAGCATTCGGGTGCATTTCCGATGTGACACTATGATACTATCAGTACTTTGAAATTAATTTTCGTATAATATACTAAGCATATAAATTGAATTAAGCTATGTACATTTTTCAGAATATCTAAAATAAAACTCACTTTCATCATATTGTGGTTCCTTACATCTTACACTCACTGTAGCTCCGTTTTCCCTCTTAATAGATTGCAATGGTCTGAGCAAGCTGTTATTATTCCTTTGGTCATGCTCGCTGGAAACATTTTGTGAGTTCAATAATATAATAGGCTTCTGAGCCTCGGAATCAATAGGAAGTACTGTTTGGTTAGTCGTATTTAAAGTATCATGTTCTTTAGAGTTGTTACCACTTAAAGACTTATTGGCAATTGTAATACCCCTTGCAAAGTTATGCATATGCCGAATGCTGAAGACATATAGAAGAAAACATTTTAATCTCTACAAAAAATATACATATATTAACGAAAAAAAAATTACCTTAGTCTACTAAACGTAGAGTAACTTGCAGATTTATTATCTACATAGCTCAGAAACGCGCTAAACAACACCCATATCCCGACCAGACAAAGCATAGCTCTCACACCATTAGCTTTGGTGAAGAGCGCCATTGCCGCTGGTCGTGATTACAATTATGCTTCTGTCCAGATCTTTTGTAGAAGACAGATTTCATTGAACAATAATACAAAATTAGAAATCCCCATTAGAACATCCAGTGCAATTTAAATAAATCGTAATTTATGTTTATTTTACTAACACTAAATATATTTATTTGTGCAATTTTACAGCAATGCAAATAATTAGAGATGCCACATTATCTAACTGACACGTCTACAGAGTGACACAATAAAAATACATTAATATTCTGAGTTTTTATGAGAATCAACACCTGTCGTTAAGTAGAGTTTTGAGCGGGTTTCGTCAATTTTCTTCGGTAATTACAATTTTTATTTCAAATATTTAAGATGCAAAGATAGATTACAAAAGAATTAACAAAAACAATGGGCTTAAATTAACATTTTCTTAAATGAAAAAAGTTTATAAAAAATCCAATCAATTTACTTAGCACAGTATTATTTATAATAATTTTTTAATTAATCCAGCTATGCGCAACTGAATGCAAAAATAGTGTTAGTATCCAAATAGAGGTTGCTCATGAATTAATTTTTTTTTTTTTTTTTGATAAAATTAATTTAAACATAGTTTAAAAAAGGAAGTATGTCGGGGGTGACAGGGCCAACACTGTCCACAGAAAATGAATGATGAATGAAATCAATGACTAATGAAGTTAACATGTCAAAAACACTCAAATATGCAAAATCTTGCATTGGTCCCATAGAGGAATTACCAAACGCGTAAATTTGACAAAGGTATACAAAGTTATCTTCAATTGAAGAAAGTAACTTCACACTCAAACTGCTATTTATTTATTTAATATTTATTTAATAATTTCATACCAATCGGCATTATATAACATATGTATATAAAGAAATATAATATAAATTGATTTAAAGGGAAAATATAAAATTATAATATAATTATTACATAGAAATTATAGTACAGCAAGTAAAAAAAAAGAAAATTAAATTTGTCTTGACTAAGTGAATTTTAATAGACGTCGTTTTATGTCAGGGATGAATGCGTTGAGTGAGCCGTTGTAGAAATCCACTTCAGTATGCAGCGAGTTAACAAGCAACGCGTGAGCTTTTTTCTTGAGTAGCGTTTTATGTTATATTTTACTTGAAAACCAACGAGGAAAGAGACTGTCTTTCGGTATACCAGCAGGAACTTAGGTCGAGATACCAACGTGTATTATGTCGTAGATAACTTTGATTTTGCTGTCTATGGAGGACGATGAGTAAAGATTAGACCAATCTGTGTTTAGGTAAAAATTATTGAGGTTGACATAGTCAGCCTCAGTCTAAGTAAGGTTACAATGTAGACTTAAGGTTCGGTTGAAGCTCAATTGAGATATCCAAAGCTGGATGATACCGATCTATAATAGTAATTTCCTGGGTACGCTCAATATGTACATGTAGGTCACTTTGTAAAGTAGATTTTCGCAATCTGAACGTGGTGAACTACTAGGAAGATTGAAATCTCCAGTGATAAGAAAGTTGGCGTCCCTATGTTTATCTTTCAAGTAGTAAAGCGTATCAAGATAAATCTGGTATACGTTGAGTGAGGCTCTAGGCGCAATGTAAACACACGCAACGATGATATTAGAGATTTTGCACTTAATTTTCACATATATTTGTTCTAAGCTATCATCGGGAATGTGGATGCACTCAGCATGGAAATACTTTTTTAATGCTATGAGGACACCACCACCGTTTTCACTGATACATGTTGAATTATTTCTGTCTTGCCTGAAAATGTTAAATGTGTCGTCTATTACCTCCCCATCGTGAATAGTAGGATGAAGCCATGTCTCAGGAATACAGAAGGCATCGATGCTGCTAGCTGACGTTGCTGTGATAAAATCACTGAGCTTGGTTCGAAGACCTCTTACGTTCTGGTAATGGACTTGCAGACTTGGTTGGGTTTGCCTTATCGATGATCGAGCAAACATTTTTATTTACTAATTTAGGAACACCATTGACATACTTTATTGTCTTAGATGTATCACCATTCTTCGCTAAGGTATCTAACTGCGCCCGGAGGTTCTTGAGGTGATTTAGCTGAGATGGAGTGAGATCAGATTTAAAGATCACTTTATTAGATCCAGCAGCGGGTTCCAGCTTTTTAGATTTGAGTTTTGCATGCGCTATGGCATGGAGATGGAGTTTCAACAAGAAGTGGACGAAAGCGCCCGAGCGATGGGCGGCCCAAACGACGAATCTTAAACTGGTCCACGACACCAGTCAAGTCCGGAGGCAGAACTGAGAGGATATTAGCTCCGTCCTCTTCAAGACGGTCTTTACCGTCTGCTTTCGTTGATTCAGTGACATTTAACAAGACGACGTTCGATTCACATCTCTTACGTTCAGCGAATTCAGCGAAGACATCTTCCGCTGGAGCAGGAACATTAGAGAAGTTTTTGAGCTTACCTTCAATAGTTCTCAGTCTGCTTTCAAGCTCAGTACATTTGTCATCCGTATGCTTGTGCTTCTTGGTTAGGTTCGAGACATTCTTCCTGATGAACGACTTAAAACTATTAAATTTGCTGTCGAACGAGGCAGCAAGTTAAGAATATTGAGCATCAAGCAGACTTTTTAGCTTACACATAGTTATATTGTCATCATCATCACTATCGGATTCAGGGTCGTCTTCGGTGTGCTTCCTTTAGGTGCGTAAAAATTTGAATTTTCGGTAAAGATCAGTTATGAAGTAGCACTCCACCACACTAAATACCAATTATGTTGTGGATATATATTTTTGGTTATGCTGCTGCCTGCTCCATTTACTTAGTATGTTGTGGGTAGTTCTTTTCCATTCGCATGAACTTTTTTACAATCTCATTTCCTTTTTGACCTATGTCCTTAGTTAAAGGTCCTCTAAGTTTTTGGTTGGCTGCATTTTTATTTTTAAACCTTATTAGACACAATACAAAACAAACATATATAGCTTTCAAAGCTTTTATAATGCTTTAAATTAATCGCTTTTGATATATATTTTATTCTTTGTACAATTTTCTTTAATCTTTACAAAAAAATTGCGACTTTAAACACGTGTCTTTCAAATCAGCGTTGCCAACCAACTAGCCACCTTAAACCACTTAAACAAAGTGAATTTCCTAAAATGAAGTAGATCTTCAATAAATCGTTTACAACTTTACGTCGAAGCAATATCCCTATTAGAGACAATTGAGAAGAAATTTCATTGTAATTTCCACAAGAAAATTTTTTTACCATTGATATCACTTCTATACAATAGAAAAGCTTGGAAATCAAAATCTTTCCACAACAATTTGTTACCAATAACATATACGATATCTAGCTTTACGTGCGAATTCACTCGCATTTAATCTCTTGAATAAATACCAAAGATTTTTTAGGATAATATGTACATTAAAGCTACAACGCAATGATCATCCTTATGGTGATGGTACAAACCTAATTTTTGTCTGATTAATGCTTTTGATGCATTATTGTTTAATTGCTATATCGATTGAGATTTTGCAAAATAGATCTCCTACTCTCCTACAACTATACAAATTTTCACCTCTTTCCGTGCTGTGGTTCGGACGCTCTGCGTGTACATAACAAAATAGCGTTTGAATTTTATATACATATAAGTTAGTATATGGAATCGAAGTCTGCTTGTTTTGAGGTGGTTGCGAATTCGTTAAGGTTATCGATGGTAAATTTATATTCGCACTTTTTATACTCTTGTGACATGTACATAGCTATAGAGTATAATATAAAACTTTGTTCACCTAACGGTTGTTCGACTCTTCTAAAACTATTCGAGAAAGAAACGGAGTTACATATGTATATTTGTACACATAAATGATCACGATGACAAGACGACGCCCACAAAACGCCATTAAACGCCACCCCCTAATATGTCTAATATATATATCTCCCAAACCATTAAAGCTATAAAACGTAAATTTGCACAGGAAAAATCTTTCGACATCCCTTACAACAGTGTGAAAATAGATAAAATATCATAAGACTTATATTTAATCTATATTCACTGTTGTAAGGAACCGGTGTCAAAATTGGGCAATGGGTGTGACACCGCCCACTTTTAGATGAAATCACATATTTCCGGACCTCGACCAGTTTAAACTAAATTCTGTGTGTAACATTATACTGATACTCATACAAGGTGCGTTCCAAAGTAAACAGGACTTTTTGAATCTAGCGCCATCTATATGTCGACTGGTGCGTTAAATAAAACTTGTATTGGTAAAACTTTTACCGAACCGTTTCAATTGATGAAACAAGTTTATGGGGATGATTGAATATCCCGCAGCGGAGTGGACGAGTGGTTTCAGCATTTACAAAGTGATCGTGAGGACAAAAATGACGAACTGTGCGTGAATTCATCAAAAATCAGCCGAAGTCATCATTGAAATTCATGGAAATGGAATTGAACATCTCCAAAACATCGATTTATCGCATTTTGACCGAAAATCAAACTAACACAACCACTGATTTCCAGATAACGCAATTTTAAATTCCATATGATTCTTTCACTTTACAGTATTCAAATTAAGCTCCAATGAATATATCGGGATACAACTTTGCGCAAATACTGATCTTTAGGAATACTATCTGAATTCTAAAAAGTTTCAAAATCCATACACCGAAGATGTGAAGCCCAGTTCCTAGGGTTGACTTTTTACTCAAAATGTTGGTCAAAGTGTGATATTTTTATTGAAATTTAGAGAGAATATTTTTCATAATATTATACCTTGTGCCAAAAATGGATGTATTATACTATTATTATTATATAATTATATTATATTATATAATTATATTATTATATATAATTATATTATAATTATAATTATAATTATATAATAGCATAGAAGCGACTAAATGAAATTTAAACCTAAAAAGGTAAAGGATTTGTCCGGAAAGTAATAGGACTGATTTTCTTCCGCCACGACTGTACTTCGAAAGGTGCGCGCACTGACTGGATTCGGTAGAGGGCAGTTGTCTCCAAGCACCTGGAGAATCAGGACAAACACTTTCGCTCGATGTGTTTCTGGGAGTAAACCTGCGAGACGTTTGATATGATCAAGCAGGCTTACCCAGATGTTGCTTTAGCACGGAGTGGTGAGTTTCGGTGCCATTTTAGAGGGTCGAGAAGAGGTGTAACTGCGACAAACACCGAGAATAGCGACTAAGTATTCATTTAATTGTTCAGATGTTCAGTTTATCAATATATTTGGTTCAAGACATTGTGACGGAGCACTTGAATATTGGAAGTTGCACCACGACAACGTGCCGACTCACATCGCATTTCTTGTGAACAGCTACCAAACCAAGATCGGCATCCCAACGCTTCCGAAGCCGCCCTGACTTTTTTGTTTCCTTGCCTGAAAAGTCCGATGAAAGCCAAGCATTTTGAAACGACAGAGAGGATGCAAGCAGCATGCGCTTTGGCTCTCAAGGCTATTCCGGAGAATGCCTTCCATGAGGCCTTCAATGCTTGGAAATCGCGCTGGCAGTGCTGCATCGACGCAGGAGGAGCATATTTTTAAAATTTTTAAAGAATTGTAATGATTGGTTCAATCAATTTTTTTAAATCGAATCAGTCTTATTAATTTCCGGACAAACCCTGTACATCAAATTTGAATATTCTACATATGTATGTAACATTGCTATGAATTCATTGAAAAGATTATTATATAGTTTATTTTATTAAAAATAGTCTCTTTTTGCTTCAATACAGCTTTTTGCATGTCGAACGAGTGTTTTAGCTCGTTGGCCAGAATGGCCTCTCGCACGGTGCCATATCAGGTGAATATGCGGAGTGGTTAGTAGTTAAAATGTGATTTTTGGTCAAATAATCGTCCTTCGAATGTTGGATTCTGAGCAATTTTTAGTCGTCAGTCAATTTGTGCGGAACAAACTGTGCACACACGTTTTGTAAGCCCAAATGTTGGATAAAATTGCAATAAATCGATGTTTTGGAGATGTTCAATTTCTTTTCCATGTATTCAATGATGATGTTATTTATGTCCTCACGACTATTTTGGAAACGTTGAAATCACTTGTCCACTCTGTTACGGGATAGTCAATCACCGCCATGAACTTGTTTCATCAATTGAAATGGTTCGGTAAAAGTTTTATCATTTTTAAATCAAAATTTAATGTTGGCTCTTTGGCCGAAGCTCATTTTCGCTCCGATAACACAAACATACTGACATTTAAAACGGATTGACTTCACTTCCAATCAATGAAATGTCATGAAATTCTCACTGGACAGGATAGTAGATTCTAACGCACCAGTCGACATATCGATAGCGCCAAAAGGGGGCGTTAGATTCAAAAAGTCCCGTCTGCATTGGAATGTACCATGTATATACTTTTTTACATTTTGCAAACAATTAATTGAAAAAGCGTATTTATTTATGCTTTCGTTTTCAAAACTTCTTTGACCATAGTTGCGACAACTTTTCTTTATTCTGTTTTGTTAAAGGGCGAAGTTGTTCTGGTATTTACAAATATAATTTAATTTTTTCTGCATTCTGGGCACATATATACTTCATGTAGGTCTTCGGTTTCCCCATCGGATAATTTCTCTGTCCAAATTCCGACTTTGCAGACTTTTACTTAAAAACTTTTTCAAAACCAATAGCGTCGTTATGAGAATATCGTTAGTCATTCGCAGTCTTAATAAAATAAACGGTGTCCAAAATGTCAAATGTTTTTGAAAGCTTGTTCATTGAAATGTCTTCCACCATTGTTAAAAACCTATGTTTGATTATATTGCATATATAGTAAAATTCATTATACAGAATCCATCAACGGGCTGACAGACGGATGTTGTATTAGCAAGTAAAAAGATGAACTTTATATTATCATCCTTTTGCAAAGGTGCAAGACAATTTATAATTGTTTTTATTTTTTTATGCTAAAAGCTACAAAGTTCGTTTTCACATTTTTACAAGTGGTGTGTGTACTCATATTACTCGTATATAGTGTTCAGCTGCTCGGTTGAAGTTACTCTAATGCATTCTTCAATAATTAGTCTTCGTTGTCCCCAAATAAAAGTTTCGCGCCCGCTCATTTGTAAAACAGTGTCTGGATCCGATCATGAGAGGTCTGGCCGCTGCGAATGGCAGCCGTATTTGGCACCGGCGACAACCAAGAGCTGTCACCTTCTAATCCACGGTGTTGTGCGACTTCCGTGCCCATTGGATGATTTGCAGCCAGGAGGTAAATTCGCCTGTATTCTAATGGAGCCTTCCCGCCTTGGGAAGTAACGGTGGCCTTACCGCGTCAAGGGGCTCTGGGGCGGAGCCTCGTGTTCCCCAGGAAAAGTATAGAAGAAGCATATAAAGTATAATTGGTCTGATGATCCTTAAGTTACTCACTAGCAACGGGACTCGTTGCCAGGAGTACGCCGATGACACTATCATAATGGCACGACATAGTTCAAAGGCAAAAACCACTGTCCTCCCTTATACTAAGCGAAGATCTTTTCTGGACTTGAGGCTCCTAACACTCTGTGGCAGGGAATTGGAGGTGTTCAAAGAGGTCAAATTTATTGGCCTCACATTAGACTCAACCTCCTGGTGCCGTAGGAATGTGGATCTAACGCTGCCCAAAGCCACAAAGGCGCTCATGATCTGTAGACGCCTAGCCGCAGATCATGGGGATCCAAGGCAATTATCATAAGTTGGCCGTATATCATGTTGTAAGGATTTTTGTTAAAGCTTCCAAGGCAACTTGCTTCATTGCAGAACTTGAAGTCTGTCTATCGTATCACCATACTTAGCGGCAGTCAAGCGGCACTAAAAGCGATCTCAGCGTATGAGGTTAAATCGCTTCTAGTAGAGGAGTGTATAGAATACTGAACCCATTATCAATGTGCAACTGATACACCTAATCTGGGTGTCGCGGTATAAAAGCTAGCCGACGAACTAGCAGCTTAAGATAACGGGGCCAGAACCATGCATCGTAGTGGGGTCCCACACTCTTAAGGAGGGAAGAGTGGGGAGAGACCAGCACTGGCAGCAGGATTGCCCAATGGCAAGCTGCTTCTAGGAGGGTATAACCTCGCAAGGTTTAAAGAACTAATCAACCTTCCTCGAGACAAATTCCGGTTAATTGCCGCGTTCTCCACAGGACACTACCGTTTCAGGAAGCACTTGTCCAACATGAGCATAGTCTCTTGCGCAAACTGTCAGTTCTGCGACATGCAACAGGGAACCCCAGAACACGTGATTCTGCATTGCCCAGCAATTTGCAGAAGCAGGCTAAGGACCCTAGGTTCCATTTCCGTGGACAGGGATCAGAGGTTACTCAGTCGCGCCCAGCAGGCTCCTGGAATTTTTCAGGATGCTGAGCCTTGGTGACAATATGTGATATAAGGGAAATATCCAAGAAACGATTTACCGAAATAAAAAATAGCTCAACTCTTTTAAATAGAGGTGATGAATATTAATTTTGATTTATATTACAACTACGCAAATATTGGGTCCATAACTGATGTTCTGCGCATTCAAAAAAACTTCATGATCACTCATTTCCATTGGAACTTCCTTACTCTAAATAAGTAAAAGTTTTTTAATTAATATTTGTTCAT